AGTTGGTCACTCAGCCCACGACGGTTTGTAGGACACTGCTGTGCACAATTGGCTGCTGCGTTTCGCTCACAAAATGTACAGTCAATTCACTTCACGGTATATTCTGTGAACGCTTTGAGACTTCCTGAAGACGTGACAAAGGACTACATCAATTGCAAGGATTATTGTTATTATTTCCTTCCATGGGCACACATCTTCATTTAACCATTTATTATATTATAATTTATTAACTTTTTTTCAGGACATTTCTTCTCACTTGTGAGCCTTTCTTCCTCCTCTCTTTGCTTCCCCCTTTCCTCCTCTCTCTCCCTACCCGAGCTGCGTTTAGACTCTAGCCTGTGTGTTGAGCTTGGTGTGAAGGAATTGCTGAGCCAGGCATGAGTGAGTTGAAATAATAAACAAGGCTGAAATGGCCTGAGCACCAAAGCTTCTGTTACTGACAGTTTCTTGACTGAGGTTAACAGAGCTCCTTCACACATTTACGCTAAGGCTTACTCTGTCGTACTCTGATACCACCAGTGCTTGCTGATGAAACCCAAGTATTTGAAAAAAAATACTGAAGTTAATCAATTTAACGTATTTTTAAATGGTTACTAGAGAGATTAAACCATTAATTCCTGAATATGATTCAAAATAAATCCTTTCATATCTGCATCTCTTTCTCCCAGCCACCTTACTTGTCATGAGAATTTTATTTTTAAAGGGTCAAACAGTCAGACAAAAGAGAATAAAGTATAAAAGAAAGTAGTTTCTTTATCATCTACAAAAAATAGAGATGCCAGATTGCCCTAAATTGGGCAGATTTTGCCCACAAAATATACATTCAATTCACTTTACAATATATTCTGTAAAGCACTTTGAGATGGCTCATAGGCGTAATAAGGCACTATAATAATAATAATCCTTGAATTTGATATAGTGCTTCTCACATCTTCTAGACGTCTCAAAGCGCTTCACAGAATATATTGTAAAGTGAATTGACTGCATTTTTGTGGGCAAAGCACGGCAGCCAATTGCGCACAGCAGTGCCCCACAAAAAGTTGTGGATTGAAGTGACCAAATTATTATTTTTTTTTCTTGAGGGATTATTATCAGGCGTGTGGAGTAAGGAAACTTACCCAAGGTTTCACCCTGCCGGGAATCGAACCCAGGTCTCTTGCTTGTGAGGCAAGTGCTCTAACCACTGAGCTACAAGACTTCGCTATATCAAAAGCAAAGGTTATCATTATTATAAGGACATCTCATCTAAAGGATGACACCCGCAACACTACAGCTCTTCTCCAGTACTGCAATAGAGTGTCAGCCTAGACTGCAAGTTCAATGTCCTAAAGTAGATGTATTCCACCAAAGTGGATCCACAGGCATTAAAAGTAGACTTGTTTTCTAGCAGGCGAACTTTGCTCCAGCAGCTCAGCGTGATTTACTCCCAGATACCAGAAGGAATCCTCATTTGAAAGACTTGGATTCCTTATTAAAGAATCCCATTGAGAAATACCTCAAGTTAGCTGCTGCTGGTGCTTCTAAAACCTCTCCTTCCCCCACCAACACTCACATAAACATTCCACGAGGAACAGGGAATGACTGCAGCCCTTTTGCTTTTTGCTTGCTCTCCCACCTCCAAGTCTCTGGAGTGAGATTCCTGTTCTAAACACTGAAATGTTGTTCAGAGGTTAAGGAAAGTGACTAAGCGTTACAAGGCCTGGAGCCAAAAGGCAAAAGGCATTATTGCATATTATAGATCACTGCTATACTCATCGGGGCATATATGTCATCCCTCTGTACACATCAAAGCAGCATTGCATGCCTTTTTTGGTCCCTTCAGACATGAGCATTTGCTGCAGATTTTCAGCCTCATTTTAAAAGAAGAGTCCCAAACCCTGCTGGACTTGACCTCCATCCTTAACAATAATTCGCTATTTGTGGTTCTGCTGTGTATGAAAGAATATTGACACAGAAACTAAACCTGTGAAAATTTGTGTTACGGCAATTCTGCATTCTATTTCCTTAATAACATTTATAATAATCTTTGCATTTGATTTAGTGCTTTCACAGGATTTACTGTAAAATGTAGCCGCCGTGTATTTTGTAGGCAAATGCAACATCAATTTAGGTACAGCAATGTCCCACAGAGAGCCATAAAGTGTGTGACTAATTTTATCTTGGGGATTGTTGGCCAGGACACCGGGAGAAACTCTTGTCTTCTTTCCAATAATGTTGCGGGACCTTTGACGTCCAATTGACTTCCAATTTGTGGAGTCCTGTAACCTTGCAAGCGAGACACCTGGGTTCAGTTCCAGGCAGGGCGAAACCTTGGGCAAGTTTCCTTACTCCACATGCCTAATAATGATCCCTCCAAAGCAAAAACAATAATAAATTGGTCATTTTCCATCCACGACTGTTTGTGGGACATTGCTGTGTGCAATTGGCTGCTGCGTTTTGCCCACAAAAATATACAGTCAATTCACTTTACAGCATAATCTGTGAAGCGCTTTCAAACGTCTAGAAGATGTGAAAAATGCTATATCAAATGCAAGGATTAACAACAACAACTTGGATTTATATAGCGGCCTCCACGCCGGACGATGTCTCAGAGCGCTTTACAGTAACGGATCCCGGGACCGATCCGGGGGAGGGGAAGGAAGGTGACCAAAAGCGCGGTTGAATAGAAAGGTCTTCAGCAGAGACCTGAAAACAGGAAGAGAGGGAGCGAGGCAAAGGGAGTAAGGAAGGGAGTTCCAGAGCCTCGGGGCGTAGTGGCTGAAGGCACGGCCGCCGAGGGTGGAGCGGAGGACTTGGGGGACAAGGAGGAGGCCAGATCCAGAGGAACGAAGGCAACGGGTACTGTTTTGAGTAGAGTAGAGTCAGAGAGGTAGGGGGATGCAGAGGAATGGGGGGATTTGAATACAAGGGTGAGGATCTTGAAGTCGATCCTCTCTGGGACAGGCAGAAAATGCAGTCTGGCAAGGACTGGGGTAATCGGGGAGCGGAGTTTGGTGCGGGTAAGAATGCGGGCGGCAGAGTTTTGAATAATTTGGATTTTGTGGATGGGAGGCCGGTGAGGAGGGCGTTAGAATAGTCCAGCCGAGAGGTGACAGATTATTATTAATTGAACTGGCAAATGGAACGTAGGTTTAATGTCTCATTCAAAAGAGGGCACCTCCGACAATGCAGCACATCCCCAGCGCTGTCAGCCCTGACTGAATTTTAAAGTCCTGACACGGGGCTTGAACACAAAGCAGATATGAACAGATATGGCATTGATCTCCCTTTTTACCTTTTCCAGTTTTATTCCAATCATAGAATTAGCTACAGCATATCCTGCCAAATATAAAACAGCCTAATATTTTCTTAATTGGGCTTACGTGACTTTCCTGGCTGATTGTGGCACATTGCTGTGCGCAAATTAGTTGCTGTGTTCACCTACAAAGACATAGCTACCACATTAAAGTAAATCTTGTGGTTTACTTTAGCGGTTTGAGGCATCTTCACAAAGTGAATAGCACTGTATTAAAGGCAGCTATTATTATAGTTCCATTTTGCGTTGTGTGCACTTTGGCATTGCAGTACTAATAAATTGCATGGTATAAAAAGCAATAAAACTACAGACTTACATAAGCGTAGTCCCAATGTGAGTCTAACTTTTATCCTCTTACCCCCTGCCCACCAAAGAGCATTCCCTCTACTCTGGTATTCATCACCCGCCTCAGAAACAGAACAGATGTATTTTAAGACTTAAAGACTGTTTATCTACTTTCTTTTCGGTTGCTGAAGGCTGAACTCTGTTGTGTCACCCCCATAGACCCTGTACGTGACCACCCACTAGAACATTACACTGCTTATTTATGTAATCTATCAGTGAGCTTTACTGTACACTGGGAGTACTAGATCGTAACCTGAATGAGTGTCCCAATGGGACCGTGTGACAAGTGTAAACATGCTCTTACACTTGCGGTTCATTTTCCTGAGAAAATGGGATCTCTCAGCTCTTTGTAGAATTTTCTTGGACGTTGGGAAAACTGGAACCGTTTAATTTTGTTTGTGACCGGACCTTTAATGAGACGACAATTAATGGCTCTATTAGCCAGAAGGCAATCGTTTGAGTTTCTAACTAAACATTGGGTAATGTCAAATGTTGGCTTTCCCTCATTTTAAATTGCTGCCTGAAATGTTAAATGCCAACTAAAGAGGCTTTTGTGAAAATAAAGCAAAATAAACAGTTTCAATCTGAGAGTTTGCTTGTTGTGGCTGTCCATTAACTTCAGCCTTGACTGTTATGTCCAGCGCCTGGTGTACAGCTGCAAATAGTGAGGAACATGACGAAAGATGTTAAAAATAGGATTAATAAATACAATTCAGTTTACACTTATATAGTGGCTTTCATGTCAGGAGGACATCTCAAAACTTTTCACAGGGTTTATAACAATAATAATGCTTGCATTTATTATAGCGCCTTATGCTGTCGTTGAGACGTCTCAAAGCGCTTCACAGAATATACTGTAAAGTGAATTGACTACATTTTGTGGATAAAATTTACTGTAAAGTACATGGACTGTGTATTCTGTAGTTGAACGTTGTATCCAATGTGCGCATAGCAACGTTCCACAAACAGTGAATGACCAATTTTATCTGGATGATTGTTGGCCAGGGCAACAGGAGAACCCTCCCTTCTCTTTTTGAATCATGTCATGCGATCTTTACCATTCATCTGAGTTGATGGGACCTCAGTTTGATGTCAGAGGAAGAGCTCCTTCAGCAATGCATTGGAGAATCAGCCTGGACTGTGAGGCCAAAGCACTGGGTCTTCAACCCTCAGTTTTCTGATTCAGAAGAAAAAGTGCTACTAAATATGCCAGGCTGACAACTATTGTGAAGAATAATTTAAGAAATACCACGATGAGCATTATCTGAATTCCACGTTAGCATTGGGCTGTCAAATATCTGGTTGTACTCCTCACTCTCTGCACTGGATTTATTTAACAGCTTCATTTTTAACTTCCAAGGTTCCCCAACCAGAGACGTCGGGCCTTCATTAGGGCTGAAGAAATCCAGCTCATTGGAAAGTCTGCAGACAGCAGTTGCTGAAGTGACTTTGAACAGTGACATTCCCTTCCATCGCCCGCGACCACGCATAATCCGAGGCCGAGGGTGCAACGAGAGCTTCAGGGCTGCGATCGACAAGTCTTACGACAAACCAGCGGAGGAGGAGGAGGAGGATGATGAGGGGATGGAAACTTGTAAGTAATCAATCGGCAGCTGGCATTTACAGTAGTTGCACTGGCTCACAATGCAGTTGCTGCACAATTTACATTTATATCGTGCCTTTCACATTCAGCATATAACAAAATGATGGGCACCTGAGCTGGGGAGGGGTTTGGGAAAGGAGACTGAAAGCACAGTCACAGGGGTACATCTTGAGGCAGCCTTTCAATGTGGGAAAGTATGGGGGGAATGTGGCAGTTATCATCAGTCAATAAGATACTGGAATATTTTTTTTCGCTTTAGAGGGGAAAAAGGCTTATGACACAAATGTAATTACTGTTACCATCAATCAGTGTAACATGAGTTATACAGTTTCACTTGTATTGTGGAGTTGAGTTGGGCCTACGCTGCGTGATAAGTGTGCTTTGGTGTTGTTTGGATTATGTTGTTGAGTCTTTTGGTATAAATGCAATTCTTCTTGTGATGTAGCCATTGCTTTCTCCTTTGCCCAGTGAGCACTGGCCTGCTTCATGTCCCCTGTCCCATTGGGCATTTAGTACCCGCTCACTTGAATTTCATCCTGGATGCAATCTGACTCACTCCCTCCCTCGTCAAGGCACGCCTCCAAATGTACTTCTTTGACTAAGCTTTTGATTATCTTTCACCTCCCTACTCTACTCAGCTTCCACCCCAGATCGAGTGCCCATCCAGCACTGTGACGCGCTTTAACTCATCCGCCTGACGTGAAATACGCTTTATAAATGTGCAGTGTATGTATCATAATTTCCTCCAATTTTCCTGGCAGGGCAAAATTTGGGCAAGTTTCCTTACTCCACACGCCTCCATTTATTTAATAGTAAATAGGAACCCAGTTGTTGGTCGATTGGTGGATCGTTTTTCTGGGGTAATAATTCCTTCAAAAAAAATGAATAATAAATTGATCACTTAATCCATGACTGTTTGTGGGACACTGCTGTGGGACACAGTAAATTCACTTTAATTCACTTTGTAGCATACTCTGTGAAGCACTTTGAGACGTCTCGAAGATGTGATAAGCACTATAGCAAATGCAAGGATTATTATTGGCAGTGCCTTTACCTTTTTGGCTATAGTAATATTTTTTACATTAGCACCTTTCACGTCAAGAGGATGTCTCAAAGCACTTTGCATGATTTACTATGTGGTTTTGTGACTGTTTATTTGGAGGCCAACACAGCAGCCAATTTAAGCTCAGCATGAAGTGAATGATCAATTTTTTTTTAGAGTTTTGTTGGCCAGGACACTGGGAGAATCTCCCTTCTTTTTTCGGGTAGAGCCATGATATCTTTAACTTCCACCTGAACAAGCAGGCAAGGCCACGATTTAATGTCTAATCTAAAAGACGGCACCTCTAACAATGTAGTGCGCCCAACAGCACTGAATTGGAGTGTCATCTTACACTATGTCAGCTCTATAAAGGGTGCACAATTTACCACACTGCTTCCAGCAATAAATGGCTATTGTTATTTAGCAAGCTTTGTTCACAGAGTGGTTCTGTCATTTCTAGATGTCAACCTGCTTATGATAAAATGGAATGAAACAAAATATATTCATCACTTTTTATATCAAATGGTTTGCCTATAAAATACACGGTGACTACACTTCACAGTATATCTTGTGGAGTTCTTTGAGGCATTCTTGCGACATGAAAGGTGCTGTATCAAATGCAAGGATAATTGAATGCAATTCATTTCACTCTCAGTAGAATTTTCTAATAGCTGTTTTATTGACTGCAACCCTACTTGGTGTCACTTTACATCCCGGCAGATCCTATATGTTACATAGAGTTACATAATGTGATAAGTCACAGAAATGGGCCATTTGACTCAACTATTCCATGACAATATACTCTACTCGAGCTCCCTTCCTATTCCCTTCCCCTCGTGTATGCATCAAGTGTTGAAGACAGGGGTTGGTATAATTTAAAATTGGTTTTGGAAGTGGAACAGAATCATATTAGATGGTTAAACTGCAGCTCAGAAAACACGTGACACATTATCGGGCTGACGTTTTCAGTTTCAGCTTGGCTCAGACGGACAAACATTCAGGCTGTAGCCTAATGTAATTTAAGCTTGATTATTGGTGTGCAGAGTAAATTTGACATCTGCGGAGAAATGCTGAGGGGGTGGAGAGGTGAAGGGAGGGGCCCACAGATAGACAAACAGTCAAACGGACGGGGGCAAGAGGAACTAAGAGAAAGGCAGTTGATGGTGTAGGATCAGTAATTTCCTGCTTCAGATTGTATGTCAGAAGTGTGGGTCAAATGCTTTCCATGCATAATCGTAGTTGCCCATTAGCCTGACAAAATAGATATTTCTGAAGACTCACTGTTCTTTAACTTCAAAAATAATCCCAACACGACGAAACAACTTAGTTGTCTTAAATTCTTAAATATTCCCTTTGTAAACTGCCCTGCTGACTCCTGAACTTCGTACTTTGATTAAATTTTGCTCAGTAAAAGAAACGTTTTAGCTTAAATGTCCAAATTGAATTTCTCGTGCCCGATAAAATGTTTAGAGGTAAAAAGAGATGTTTGAGCAGTTACTGGATTTTTAATTGCACTCCAGAGCCTTGTGGAGTACTGCATTATCAAAGGTGCTGCCCTTCGGATGAGATGTTGAACTGAGGTCCTGTCTGTCTGTTCAGCTGAATGTTAAAGATCACAAGGCACTATTTTAAAAGTAAAGGGAGTTCCTCCCGGTGTCCTGGCCAATAATCCACTCAATAAAATTGGTCATTCACTTCATAGCTGTTTTTGGGGACATTGTTGTATGCAAATTGGCTACAGTGTTTGCCTATGAAATACACAATCACTACACTCTACTGTAAATCCTGTAAACACTTTCAGACATTTTCACGTCTAAGACAGTATAGCAATTGCAAGAAATATTATTAAAATTCAGGGAATTTGGAAAATTGGAGCCTCCAGATTGGCACTCTTCTCCCAGCCGGCTTTTCCCACTCCTGAAGATACTGTGAAGTGATCTTGTGAAGTGACTCTCAATTCCTGGCAGAATACTGCACCATTGTTCACATGTGAACCCAGACACTGGGTGTGAGCAGCCTATTTTACTCTGGCGGGCATCACTTTCTAACCCAGAGGCCACACAGACCAATTATATTGTTCTCAACAACTCAAAATCAGCTAACTCTATGCATTTTTATAGATTGTGCATGTTAGTGGCCAAACCAGGTGGAACCTTTATGATAACAAACGACAAATTTACATGTATTAGTGCCTCTCATGTTGGGAAGATGTCCCAAAGTGCTTAAAGGCCACAGTTGCCTTGACTTCATCACTGCCTATCACTTAGGAATAAAAACCACGAGAGGACCAGATGCCTTATTTATAGCAACTTGTATTTTTATCGTATTTCTATAGAACCTTCTCAAACAGCCTAACAAAATGCGGTGCTGCATGCTGAATAGGGAATCATAGAATTATATAGCACAGAAAGAGGCCATTCTTTGAAAAGAGCTATCCAAATCAATCCCACTCCCCCACTCTCTCCCCATAGCCCTGTAAATTTGTCCTCCCCAAATAATTATCTACTCTCTTAAAAGTTGTTATCGAATCGGCTTCCACCACCCTTCCAGATCCGAACAACTTGTGTGAAAAAATGTCTCCTCACCTCCCATCTGTTTCTTTTAACAACTATTTTAAATCGGTGTCCTCGGGTTACCGACCCACCCGCCAGTGGAAATAATTTCTCCCTGAATCCCTTCATAATTTTGAAAACCTCTATTAGGTCTCCTCATAACCTTCTCTGCTCCAAGAAGAATAATCCTAGCTTCTCTAGCGTCTCCTGATAACTGAAGTCCCTAATGATACCATCCTGGTAAATCTCTTTTGCACCCTCACCGCCTAACCAGTGTTTTATAAAGGTTCATCATAACTTCCTGACTATTGTATTCTATGCCTCTCTTTATAAAGCCCAGTATCCAGTGTACTTTTTTAACAGCTTTATCTACGTATTCTTCAAAGACTTATATGAACCCCCAGGTCTCTCTGTTCCTTCACCTACTTTAAGATTCTACCATCAGCTTGTATTGCCTCTCCTCATTCTTCCTCCCAAAATCCATCACTTCTCATTTCTCCACATTAAACTTCATCTGCCATGTATCTGCCCATTTTACCAGTCTGTCTATGTCCATTTGCAGTCTGCTACTATCCTCCCCACCGTTTACTACTTTTCCTAGCTTAGTATCATCTGCAAACTTGGAAATTGTGCTCCCTATACCCAAATTCAGGTCATTTATTATAGATCAAAAAGAGCAGTGGTCCCAATACCGACCCCTGGGGGACACCACTGCACACTTCCCTCCAGTCAGAAAAACAACCGTTCACCACCACTCTCTTCTTTCTGTCTCCTGGACAGTTCTGTATCCATGCTGCCACTGTCCCTTTAATACCGTGGGCTTCTATTTTGCTTACAAGTCTCTTAGTTGGAAATGAGAGATGTTAACCACAGGCAAAGTCTAAAAGAGGTTTTTAGGTTTTTTAAGGCAAGGACAGAAGCAGCAGGGAGAGAAGTAGCAATGCAAAGTCGGTTTGGAGGAGTGATTCAGAGGGCTTGGGAATCATGGCTGAAGGCTCAATACAATAGATACATCAGCTCATTTCTTCATCTGATCCTTTTGAACACAAACCTTAATGTTGTTGTGTTTGTGGATTGATGTTTTATTCTTTGCATTGAAAGTGACAAGGGTTCGAGTCACCAGGAAGCTTATCAGATCAGCCTAAGTGAAGTGTTTGCTGTGATACACTCCACATGCCCCGGGAGAATTGAGACAACAATTTCTCACTTGTTACTTGAGAGTATATCATTAAGATCAAGAGACATTAGCAAGTCTTGAAATCATTAGACTCTCATTTTCAGATATACCCAAATATGTATCAGCTGGAGTTTGAATGCCATTCTGAACACTTTCCGGGCGAATGGCTAAAGCTGCAATATTTGTCATATTGAGAAAATTATTGGGGTTAAGAAGGGAA